TGTTTCTGTAATTCTCCCTTTCTTGAATATTACTTTTGTACATTTATCTAATCCGAAATTCATACCAATGTCATCACTAAAACATTTTGCAGTAGACCCTTTAACTCATTGTTGTTTGGAATTTCATTGGGGGTTATTGATTAGAATTCGTATTATGAATTGATGACAGATGCTAAGGATATCATGGACCGAGCGTGTGAGCAACGATGACGTCTTAGAGAGGATGCAAACAACGAGGAGGCTTATACTTAACACCAGAAAGAGGCAGCTGAAGTTTCTGGGACACATAATGAGGAAGGAGGGCCTGGAGAATCTGATGTCGAATAGAGGGAAAGAGAGACAAGGGAAAGTAGCGTGTGACATACCTGACGAGCTTGAACAGGTGGATGACAGAACGTGGTCTGAAGGAGGAAGCAGAAGGAAGGAACTTGCTTCTGAGAGCTGCAAGGGATAGGAGGAGGTGGAGAGCCATGATCGGCTACATCCTGAAAGGCACATAAAAGCAAAGAAAGACAAAAGACAGAACCAAAAGTTGGGTACCTTGTCATTTCCTGGAGATTTCAATTTTGGCGTTTTGTCTAATATTATTCTTGGTTATGTTTTTTCCTTCATTCTTTCTTGTTTATATTTGATTCACTCTGAAATGGATTTATATTCTTTAGTGTTGCTCCAAATATTCCTCCAGAACTATTGTATTTCTTCAATAGATGGTGGCTTTTTAACTTCTATAACTTCTTTTCCAATTTCACTGTAAAACCTCTTGAAGTCCGTTTGGAATACCTTATTTTATCGGTAGAAAGTACAACGCTTTTTATATCGTTTTTTTCTTCTTCTGTGACTTTAATTGCAGTTTATGTTTAAATATTTACTTAATTGCTGAAATTTAATTTAGTAATTTAATTTTATATTTCCGCTTGATCTTCCTGCATTTGCGTATTGAAACATTTGAGTTTTTTGAAATCTCATCTAGTTTCGATAATTCACATTTATCATTATTATTATTATTATTCATTCATTCTTTTATTCGCTGAGTGTTTAAAAAGATGTAACTGATGAGTTACATTGAAAGTTAAGTATCAGCAAGTCTCCTCAATATTCTTCTCAGTATCCTTGTTTTCAATAATGCTGTTGTCTAGATGGTTCCAATTCTGTAACTAAATTTCAAATTCTCCATTTTTTAAGGGATTTTTGGATCATTCCAAGTGCTTCGATAACAATTTTTATCTTCATGTTCTACAACTTTCTCAGCTCTTGAGAAAGTTCAAGATGCTTATCGTTTTGATTTTGATTTTTCATCTACTCCCCGCTCATCTGAAACAGCGAAAACTACTGCTTGGCATTTTTCTTCTCGTTTATTCCGACAAAATCGGTTCTTCTGGTCTGGATTGAATGATCTGTGCGAATCTCAAAATCCTTGAGGATTATGTTTCATTGTCTAAGAAAGATTCTTATCATTCTGTTTCTAGTAATCTTCTTGGGCAAAATTACTACATTATTTGATTATGTGGTTCACTTTCTCATTTGTATTTCCACACAAGCAAAATACGATGTTTTCCTATTCTTTCTTTCTTTCTTTCTTTCTTTCTTTCTTTCTTTCTTTCTTTCTTTCTTTCTCTCTTTTTCCTTTCTTTATTTCTCTCTTTCTTTCTTTCTTTCTTTTTTATTTCTTTCTTTCTTTCTCTCTTTCTTTCTCTCTTTCTTTTTTCTTTCTTTCTTTATTTCTTTATTTCTTTCTTTTTTCTTTCTTTCTTTTGCTCTCTTTCTTTTTTCTTTCTTTCTCTCTTTCTTTCTTTCTTTCTTTCTCTCTCTCTTTCTTTCTTTTTTCTTTCTTTCTTTATTTCTTTCTCTCTTTCTTTCTTTCTTTCTTTCTTTCTATCTATCTATCTATCTATCTATCTATCTATCTATCTATCTATCTATCTATCTATTAGTAGTAGTAGTAGTGGTGGTGGTGGTGGTGGTAGTAGCAGTAGTAATCAACGCTCTTTTCTACACGATCATTCAAAAAAATCATTAATTTTCATTCGTCTGCTTATAAACTCTATAATGTCATGAAAAAAACGTCCAATTTTTTTCTCCACCTTTCACCTTTATCTGTTTTTTCTTTCTTTTTTTTTTTTGTTATTCACTGTCCCTTCTCGAAAATATTCTCCTTCCTTCTAATTTCTCTCTTTTATCCTTCATCTGTTTCTTTTTCTTTCCTTTTCCCTCCTGATTCTCTCACCCTTTTTCATGTTTTACTCGTGTTTCCTTCTACTCCTGACCACACAAATCTGGGCAACGCCGATAGTCGAAACACTGACTGTAAATGAAATCCTTACAACCCCGACCTCTGAAACCAATTTTAAAATAACATTCAAATCAAATTTTAATGTTCAAATATTTTTTAATCTCTTTTAGCGAAATGGTTGCACACATTTTCTCTTCTTAATTCTTCTTCCATATTTAAGCATTTTCTTTGGCTTTTAGACATTACTCAAAGCAGTTTAAATATCTTTGATGATTTCCGTGTCCATTGTGTAAAAAAAAGAAAAGAAAAGAAAACAACATTTTAATTGCTTGATTTCCAAAATTACCCTCATTGATTTGCCAGACTGAAAAAAAAAGAAAAAAGAAAAGATGAACAATCACTGACTTTCACATTTAATAGATTTTGCTTTTACCTTAAATCCGACAACTTTTTTTTAACCTCGACATTTTTTTCTGAAGAAAGGCCGGTAGAAATGGGGGAAGTTGTTGAAACAGAAAAAAAAAAAGAAAAAAAGGAAAATATTAGTCAATACAATCTGCATTTTAATTTTAAATTTAATTGATCATTAAATTCGTATTCAAGAAACCATTTTAAGATCCACATTTTATTTTTAAATAAAAATGATGAAATCAAATAAACCGTGACCCTCGGAGAACATCAAACAGTAGCGCCTCAGAGAAACCTGGCCGATAAAGAAAACGAGAGAAATATGACAGTAAGAGAGAGAGAGAGAGGGGGGAGAGGGAGAGAAAGAGAGAGAGAGAAAGAGAAAGAGAGAGAGAGAAAGAGGGAACAAAGGAAAAAAGTGGGTAAAAAAAAGAGAGAAAATAAAAATGTTATTGTTAAAGAGAGAAAGAGAAATAAAATAAAAACAGAATGACAGAAAAGAAGAAAAAGAGAAAGAAAAAGTTAGCAAAAAGGTTACCAACGGAAGTGGTAGACAAAAGCAAATTTAGTAGTTTCGAATGGTCGCTTACCGTTGAGCATCAGTTCGAAGAAGGTTGAACCAAACATCCGTGCAACAGTGATAGGGTTAACACCCATCCTGCCAATATGAGAAACTTTTCTTAAGTCTTTTCTCTTTTTTCACTACTTTCCCTATTGAAAAACCTTTTTTTTTTATCTCTCTTCCACAGAACAATGATTTTTTTTCATGATAAACATTAAAATGGTTTTTGAAAACTCCAACAATGAATTAGTAGCCGAGTGCCTAGTGGTGAGATTGTGATGTCAAACGAAGCGTCTACTATTTAGAATAAAGAGATGAACAAAAAAAAAGACAAGATGAATCCTAGGAGACATCATTTTGGTTCTTGATTTTTTTTTTCAAGAATTTTTCTAAGGTCTGTTTTTAACTTTATTTAAAGTCATTTTATTGACCCTTTCATTGTATTTGTTTTATCGGCCGAGTTGTTCATCGGAACTGTTCGTGCTGGTCATCGTCTGTCTTTGTTTCTTGAGCGCCTTTCTCTTTTGAACCGATTTCCATTGAAAGAATAATGTGACTAGTACAATGACTACTACCGCTATAATCAGGGACAGGCTTCAGTTGCGGGTAACTCTCCGCAGTAGAGCTTCTGACCAAAGGCCAAGAAGCCAGGATATTTTAGATTCATTTTTACCGTTCCGGGTCAGCAAAATCTCTTCTTTGCGTTCATCTAAGAGAAAGTAAAAAACTGACTTCAATTGCCACAACAACCACAATTGCTACTAAAATCACAATCAACTAACAAAGCACTGTTTGCGGGTTGAGCCAATTTATATAATGTTAGTCAAAAGGGGACCAAGTTCATTCACATGGCAAATTATTATATTATAATCATAATAATAATAATAATAATCAAATAGAAAAACAAAATGTTTTTATTCTATGTCGTTATTACGCATGTGTACTATAGACAGGATTTTAACTAAAAACCATTTGAAAATAAAACTAAAATAAATATTCAGCTACGTTTTCTCCTTAGTGGCTAAGATAATAGTTTATTTTCTATTGGCGCTATTGAACGGGGTTCGGGCTGCAGAAGATGTGAGGTTTTCTGATTTTGATTTTTCAAAGCTATCAGCACCTCCCATCGCTTGCAGATTGGGAAATTGATTCAACACAATCTTCGTAACTATTTTCTCTCAATTGTCGTAACTAAGTTTAATAAATGTCTATAAATATTTATATTCCATAGACAGGAAACTATATATATATATATACATATATATGATCATATATATATATATATATATATATATATATATATATATATATATATATATATACAGAGAGAGAGAGAGACATGATTATCTATATAAGGAGAGAGAGAAAACATGATCATCCATATAGGGAGAGAGAGAGAGGCATGATTATCCATATAGGGAGCGAGAGAGAGAGAGCCATGATCATCCATACAGGGAGAGAGAAAGAGAGAGCCATGATCATCCATATAGGGAGAAATGGAGTGAGAGCCATGATCATCCATATAGGGAGAGAGAAAGAGAGAGAGAGAGAGAGAGAGAGAGAGAGAGCCATGGTCATCCATATAGGGAGAGAGAGAGAGAAGGAGTGAGAGACATGATTATCTATATAAGGAAAGAGAGAGGCATGATCATACATATAGGGAGAGAGAGAGCCATGATCATCCATATATATATATATATATATATAGATAGAGAGAGAGAGAGAGAGCCATGATCATCCATATAGGGAGAGAGAGAACGAGAGCGAGGGCGAGAGAGAGAGAGAGAGAGAGAGCCATGATCATCCATATAGGGAGAGAGAGAACGAGAGCGAGGGCGAGAGAGACAGATAGCAATGATCATCGAGAGAGAGAGAGACATGATTATCCATATAGGGAGAGATAGAAAGAGAGCCATAATCATCCATATAGAGAGATAGATAGAGAGAGCCATGATCATCCATATAGGGACAGAGAGAGAGATAGCCATGATCATCCATATAGGGAAAAGAGAGAGAGAGAGCCATGATCATCCATATAGGGAGAGAGAAACAGGAAGAGAGCCATGATCTTCCATATAGGGAGCGAGAGAGAGAGCCATAATCATATATATATATATATATATATATATATATATATATATATAGAGAGAGAGAGAGAGAGAGAGAGAGAGAGATAGCAATGATCATCCATATAGGGAAAGAGAGAGCCATGATTATCCATATAGGGAGAGATAGGGGAGAGAGAGAGAGAGAGATAGCCATGATCATGCATATAACGAGAGAGAGAGAGAGATAGCATCCCATATAGGGAGAGAGAGATAGCCATGATCATCAATATTGGGAGAAATGGAGAGAGACCCATGATCATCCATATAGGGAGAGGGAGAGAGCCATGATCATCCATATAGGGAGAGAGAGAGAGAGAGAGAGAGAGAGAGCCATAATCATCCATATACGAAGAGAAAGAGAGAGAGAGAGCCATGATCATCCATATAGGGAGAAAGAGAGAGAGAGCCATGATCATCCATATATATATATAGAGAGAGACAGACAGAGAGCCATGATCATCCATATAGGGAGCGACAGAGAGAGAGAGCCATGATCATCAATATTGGGAGAAATGGAGAGAGACCCATGATCATCCATATAGGGAGAGGGAGAGAGCCATGATCATCCATATAGGGAGAGAGAGAGAGAGAGAGCCATGATCATCCATATACGGAGAGAAAGAGAGAGAGAGAGCCATGATCATCCATATAGGGAGAAAGAGAGAGAAAGTAATGATCATCCATATAGGGAGAGACGGGGAGAGCGCCATGATCATCCATATAAGGAGCGAGAGAGAGAGAGAGAGAGAGAGAGAGATGGCCATGATTATCCATATCGAGAGAGAGGGCCATAATCATCCATATAGGGAGATAGATAGAGTGAGATAGAGAGAGCCACGATTATCCATATAGGGGAGGGAGAGAGAGAGTCATGATCATCCATATAGGGAGAGAGAGAGAGAGATGATCATCGATATAGGGAGAAAGACACAGAGAGAGCCATGATCATCCATATATATATATATATATAGAGAGAGAGAGAGAGAACCATGATCATCCATATAGTGAGATAGAGAGAGAGACATGATTGTCTATATAAGGAGAGGGACAGAGGCATGATAATCCATATAGGGAGAGGGAGAGAGAGAGAGAGAGAGTCATGATCCTCCAAATAGGGAGAGAGAGAGAGAGAGTGAGTCATGATCCTCCAAATAGGGAGAGAGAGATAGAGAGATAGAGAGAGAGCCATGATCATCCATATATATAGAGAGAGAGACAGAGAGCCATGATCATCCATATAGGGAGAGAGAGAGAGAGAGAGAGAGAGAGAGAGAGAGAGAGAGAGAGAGAGAGAGAGAGAGCCATGATCATCCATATAGGGAAAGAGAGAGAGACAGAGAGACAGAGAGAGCCATAATCATCCATATAGGGAGAGAGAGAGAGCCATGATCATCCATATAGGGAAAGAGAGAGACAGAGAGACAGAGAGAGAGCCATGATCATTCATATAGGGAGAGAGAGAGAGAGAGCATGATCATCCATATAGAGAGAGAGAATTTTGTTTGATATTGATTCTTTGTTATGAAAATTTATTCCTATTTCATTTACTACTTATAAAAATGAAACCTTTTACACAAATGAATTTGCTCTCATTTTTAGGGCATAAACGATTATGTCTCTTCACAACTTCCTTTACTTTAAGTAACGTAAAGTTTGAATTGCCATGATTATTTTTGCGAAAGATAGTGGTTTAGAATTCCCATTACACTTGTTTAGTGGTTTCCCTATCAAGGCAAGATACCTCAGTCTACCCTTCTATTTAACACATAGCTAGTGAGGCAAAGAAGAGATGGTTTCATACCTTTTCCAAAGCAAGTGTGAAGTGAACGTAACTCAGGTGAAATTTGAACTCGGTCTACCGAGTTTTCCATTTTACGCGCCGATAACCGTAACGCTGCCTGCGCATAAATTTTAGTATTGTTTTTTTCTTTTCATCAGTCATCTAAAGTTTTACTGGTACTATTTACTAAGCTTAACCAGGAACAAAGTTACTTTACAATGTGCATTAAAGAATTTTTTTCGCAAAAAATGATCTACCAGATAAGTCTATTAATCCTATATGAAACTGAGACGGTTCCAAACCAAATTCCTCCTCTTCAAATCACCTGAACTCTATAAATGACGTTCATTTGTGGTTAAAGCTTAAGAAAAAAAATTCAACCATGTTAACTTTATTGAAAAAAAATTATTTTGCTAGTAAGAGACCAGGATGATGTCTTGTTTTTTTTTTTTTTTTAATTTCGTCAAGGCTAACTTTATTTATTCATTGATGACGTGATTAATTATAAAATACCACTCATCACAGGAGACGACTTCTTAAAGTGCATATGATATAATTAATATGTTCATATACATACAGTCAACGACGAAAGTATTCGTACACCCATCAATTTTGAATATTTTTATCCATTTAATACCCGGATGATGTCGGGGTTTTTTTTATATGTTAATAAGCATATAATAATAATTGTTCAATTTTATTCTATTTTTTATACTGTACGATTAATTTTGTTTTTTCTATTTTGCATAAATGGCCTGTCGAATATATTGTATTTAACCTATTGTTCTGAAAATTGAGTTTTATATTCCTCTTTTGTGCTTATTAAAATATAAAAAAACTGGCATCATCCGGGCATTAGATTCTGATAAATGGTTAAAAAAATATTCAAAATTAATGGATGTACGAATAATTTCGTCGTTGACTGTACATATACATTAAAAAAGATGCATCCTTTTTTTCTGCGGTCTCACTCCTAATAACCATTACACATGACATCACTATAGCTGAACCCCACGTTACCTGCTGCTGTGAGTATTCATGACCGACCACTTTCTTTGTTGATTGGACCCGCTCCAAGTTTTAGAAGAAAAAGACAAAGTGTTATGATAAAGTGTTTAACTGGAAGGGTTAATTTTGTTGTATCAAAACCT